CCCCACTGGACAACTTCGGGATTTTGTTACGATTGTGGCAAAATGTTTGAGTTCGCACAAACTCATGTCATGCTCGAAAACCTCCTATATACCAAGCCAGCCTCTTTAAAACCGACTTCAACTCCGGTACAAATTTAAAGACAGGTAGCACAATAAAGTGTGTGCTGAAGAGGTGTGAATGTGCCTACTATGAAGGAATTCTGTATTCCGAAAGAAGCGAAAAATGGGTGCTCTCGCGGGCGAAGGATGCGCACGCAGCGATCAACTAAAGCCTTTCCTGACCCTTTTGACGCCCGCGCCCGCCCACAAATTGGCTAGGCGCCTTCACTGGTGAGAAATGAAGATCAGATTGACGGGTTTACACATCAAATGAGAGTTCTGACGTGTTCGCAGTTGAGTGGGAGAAACTCGAAAATTGTTTGTTCTAGCGCGTGTAAAAAAATCTGTTAAAAATTAGCTGTACCACCCGTATCACATATTACAAATCGTGCACCACAAGCAATGAGAATCTGTAGGATTAGTCTGGCGCGCAACAGGGTCAAATGGAGACGTTGCTGGCGCCCGTCGAGGAATGACGACCGATGGTTCAACAGGTGATATTGGTGATAATCTTAGGTAGAAGTCAGGAGGCCCGTCGCGCGGCAAGAAGGCAGAGTCAGCGGACGAGTCGCAGCGCGTGATGTGCGATGTAGGACGTACAATGGTACATTCTATTTAACTTGACGCGAAACACTGCTACGCGAACTCGTCCGCTGACTCTGCCTTGTTGCCGCGCGACGGGCCTCCTGTCGGGTATCCATAATCTTAACTATAATAGTAATTAAAATATAATTTTTACCTCATCACGTATCCTTCGCTCAGTGATCTTCTTTTCGTTCATGATAAAGAATAGTCCTAAATAAGCGCCCCATCACAATCATCATAATCAATGTGAGTTCAAAAATGAAACGATAAAATAATAAATAATAGTGATTACCAGCCAAAAATAATATCAGTCCATGTGCAGCATCACCAAACATAACACCAAATAGGAAGGGAAAGGTGATAATAGTGAAGGGAGCTGAAAATAATCTTACATATGTAATTGCAAACATTGCGTTGACGTCAAAAATTTAGGGGCAAGCCAGGGATAAAATTGGTGTGTGAGAGCGTTCAATAATAGCTGGGGGTGAGGAATGGTCCTGAAGAGGGAAGAGAAGCTGAAAGAACCCTTGATTAAGCCCAAACCGGGCCCACTCTCTTTCAGCCGCATTCCACCGTGAACTTGAGAGTGGAGTGTTTAGACGAGTTTTACGAACAGCTCCAGCTTGCGCCAGCCCCTCCCCCAGGCAAAATTTTGTCAAAAATTTCAAGGTTTTTGTTTATACTGAGATTTTCTTTTGTTACTCTTTCTTTCCATCTAATCCGGACCGTGCCTTTGAATATTGCATGCTTCAGAAACTAACCAGGATTAACTTCTCTATAAGTTGGCCACACCATATGAATCCACAATTGATTGGAACACCGAGGTGAATTTGTTAGTGCGATGGTAAGTGGGCGGCGGCCCTTGAGGAACCATCTCGTTTAGGATAGGAGAAAGCGGAACCATTGACCTTTGAGAAGAAAGACAATGATACAGTACCGGATTTAAAAAAAACTGTCAAAGAGGCACGGTGCATAAAACTAACCAATCCATCACACAACGCTAAATGAACAGTATCCATTTCCCTTTCCGGAATCCAGCATTGAGCTGCCAAAAAACCATTTGTGTCTACCTATGTACCGAAAACATACTGTATTTCAATTTCAAACGTCAAAAATAATCAAGCAACTATAAACTCGCTAACCGTGAACCTATTCAACGTGCTGTAAATGGCCTTTTGTAGGTGCACCTTCTTCAACCACCCCGGCAGATCTTTAGCGACGTTTGTCAGAATCTGTAAAAAAGACGAATAATCGAAATATTCGTTCCGCGATGCAGACTAAAAGATGTCTGATTTCAAACTTTGGACAAGATTATGCGAAAGAAACTTCGGCGCTATAATTTCAATAATGAAATATCAGAAAACTAATTACACGGTCAGCCTGACGCCGCCGATTACGAATACGCATTCATTTTTGATAGGGGGCTGTCTTCCTTACCAGGTTCCGAATAACACCCTCTCCCAGTATGTGGAATCCAACAAAAATGCTAAAAAACAAGTTGCGCACTTGCCATAACCAGGACTCGAAGCAGTACTATACCTTAGTCCTGCGCAGTCAAAAGGTCCGCCGTCTTTGTCACTCGTCGCCACTTAACGTGTCAGGGAGTTACTGCTAGCCATGATTCCCTAGTCGCTTTGATTACCTCTTTCTAGCTTATCTTGGGCTTGCGGTAGCTCGCTTTCTTATCGACTTATCCTGTGGCCTCCTTAGCACGTGCCCATACCATGCCATTGACGCAAAGAAGCTGCGATGTCAGTTGGATTTGGCGCCAGAAGGTTTATCGCATTTGTAATCTGTACAGCGAACAAGTCGTACAGCACGCCACGCCCACTGTGGGCGGGGCTCCGCTTAGCTGATGTGTGTTTTGTACTTATCGAGACCTTGCCCACCCATCCCACACTTGACCCGGTCCCTCCAGGCGGATCCCGAGGAGCTAGGGAATTTCGTGACAGACACTGTGACAGAACGACAGACGAAACGCTTTCAGTGAGTAGGAAGAGATGCAAATAAAAATGAACTTTGAAAAATCTAATAGCATTTTCAGAAACTTTCACAGTGAACTTACTTGAAATCGATGCTCTTGCGTGCTATCGATGACAGTTTTGAGATCTTGGATACGAGCTATAGTCTCGAAAAGTGCTTGTTGTCGTTCCTTTGATGTTTTCGGGCATGGGTACTGCCTAGCATTGAAGCTAAAAAAATCTATGAATAGTTCTACCGCAGTTGACCATTGTCGAATAGAAATCAATCAATTTTGAAAGAAAACTGCTCACCCATCGCATACTTTATCAACGATAAGCTTCAGGCTTTCTCCTTTGAAAAATACGATAAATACACATTTTATAATGGGCGCGAGCTGGAAATTGTACCAATATTATTGATGGCAGATTCAAAAAAAAACAAAATGATTTTACGAGAATCGAAATTAAGACTACAACGGACAAATTTCATATAGATGTCTATTGCTTTATATGGTGATTTCAACACAACAACTGACTGACGTTCCGCCAAAATCATCGCCGGTGACATACAAAATCAACGTTCCACGGCTGTGCGCTCACTACCATACCTCGCACTACTGCAAATATCATAAATGGCTTGCACGCGAGCCTCTTGAGTGCTTATGCTCCCTTGTTCCCCTGTTCTGATTCTCGAACATTTCCTTAGCAAAAAAAACTCTACCGGATATCGATGCGATTTTAAGACTCTTTCACAGGCTTCCATTGCGAGCGTGTAGCTGTTTCCCCTCTGTTAATCATTACAATTACAGGGGAACCCACACCTTTTAATTTTGTGACGGATTGGTCCTTCTCATGCAACAAAACCAAACACATCGCCGTGACATACACTGCAACTAATACACCGCACAAAATGAGTCGCGTTTCTCGCATCTATTTCACTTCAACAAATTGAAACCATTTTCTAAAGCAGAGAACCCATTTCTTTTCTGAAACCCTAGCTGATGAAAAGTTATGAAAGTTGAAATTGTCAGATAGGGACGCTAACTCCTGTTCATGCAATTGTTTCTAACGAAGCTCTTTGAGTGATATTAACCATAATCATACTATTATATAAACCAGAGTTTGTTTGTCTGACCGCTCCCCAAAAATTCGCAAGTGTCCCCCACATGTTTATAATTCTTCCTTCAAAAATCACCTAGGGAGGGCGGGTCAAGTTTGGAATGGGTAGAGTATGAGTCGCTCTCTAAGGGGAATATATTGGCCATGCTAAACTCCGCCTCCAGTGGGCGGGGCGTGCGTCGAAATGAAAAAATTTGGTGAAAAAATTGCAGTTTTTGGCTTCAGAACAGTCTAAAGACAGGGAAAAAATAAGGCCTTAATAGGGCACTTACCGCTCTATAAGGGAAACATATTGGCCATGCTAAACTCCACCCCCAGTGGGCGGGGCGTGCGTCAAAAATCGAAATTTCGTTGAAAAAATTGAAATTTTTGCTCTCTGGACATCCCAAAGGTCATGAAAAATAAGGCCTAAATAAGGCACACACCGCTCTATTAAATGAATGTATTGGCCATAAGAAACTCCGCCTCCTGTGGGCGGGGCGTGCGCTTGAAGTAAAAATTTTCGTGAAAAAATAGCCGTTTTTCGTCCAAAAACATCCAAAAAACCAGGAAATGTTGGTTGAATAGACCATAGATCACCCCCCTATCATACTATATATAATCGGCTAAGCGGTTGTGCGTGTGTGTGTCTGTGTGTGTGTGTGTATGTGTTTGTCTGTCTGACCGGAAATTCATAGCTCGGGCACCAGTGGTCGTCAGGAGTTGGTTTCAAGATATGATATAGGGGGTGGGACGGGAACATATTTGGTGGGGGTCAAAGAAAGTGATAACGAACTGATAAGGGCTGATAAAAGGCGCTAGAACGCAAGTGTCGCGAAATTCATAGCTCGGGCACCAGTGGTCGTCAGGAGTTGGTTTCAAGATATGATATAGGGGGTGGGACGGGAACATATTTGGTGGGGTCACAAAGTGATAACAACTGATAAGGGCTGATAAAAGGCGCTAGAACGCAAGTGTCGCGAAATTCATAGCTCGGGCACCAGTGGTCGTCAGGAGTTGGTTTCAAGATATGATATAGGGGGTGGGACGGGAACATATTTGGTGGGGTACAGAAAGTGATAACAACTGATAAGGGCTGATAAAAGGCGCTAGAACGCAAGTGTCGCGAAATTCATAGCTCGGGCACCAGTGGTCGTCAGGAGTTGGTTTCAAGATATTGAGGTATAGGGGAGACAGGAACGATATTTTGTGGGTCACAAGAGTGATAACTGAATATGATGAGCAGGATAAGAGGCCCGCTAGAACGCAAGGATTGTCTCTGAAAATTCCATAGCTCGGAGCACCAGTGCTTCGTCAATGAGTTTCAAAGATATGACTATAGGGGTGGCGACACAGTGGGGTCACAAGTGATAGACGATGTAATGAGCAGATAAGAGGCGCTAATACGCGAAGTGTGGCGAAATATTAGTGCCGTGTGCGGGACGCAGAGGTCGTCAGGGTGTGGTTTAGATATGGTGTTATGTCGGATCAAACAAGGCCGGTCACAATAGTGGATAACGAGATGGAATATTGAGCGAATAAGAGGCGTATGAACGCAAGGTGGTGGCGAAATTCATAGCTCGGCGGGCCCCAATGTGTCATCAAGGGGTTCATAGATATTTGACATTAGGGCGGTTGGGTACGCGGAATCATTTTTGTGGGGGTTCACAAAGTGATAGCAATGATATGAGCAGATTAAGAGGCGCTGTAATACGCAAGTGTGGGCGATGAATTCATAAGCTCGGGTCAGCCATCTAGGGAATTGTTCAGGAACTGATTTTGGTACATGATATGGGGGTTGGACGGTAACATATTTTGTGGGGGTCAAAAAGTGATAACGACAGATGAGGACTGATAATTACGATATGCGTACGAACGTAGAGATTACTCGAAACCAGATTGCAGATAATGCATTTCATTTCAATATCATTTCATTAGCGTTATAATTGTAAATTCAAACACCTTTCAACCGCTACACCTTCTAGAGTTCTTTTTGAAAGATGGATGTCTATAAATTGATAGTGAATACTGAGCATTCTGTCTTGAGATTACCAACATTATTCGACCGCTAAATTTCCTCGATTCTCGATGCTTCTGGTGGTTGTTTACATACATCACTTTAGCTGTGCGCTTATCAAAACAGTGAGATACAGCCAAGATGGGCAACGGACAGTAATGCATTTAACGAGCAGCTATAGTTAAGCGGTGAAACCCAAAGCTTCACCGATTGTCAGTTTTGTCAGAGGCTTCCGTGTCATGCGCGCGGTAGCGGGCGGAGCTAAACTGGTAAGTCTTTTTAAAGCACATGAATATTCCCTGTAAACTCACTGTAACAGGATCCTCCAATGTGAGTGTCACATCGCTGATTCGCACAAAGGCCGTTCGTCTACACGCTCGCCAAAGCACTCGTTCAAAAGTGTTCTTTTTGTCGAGAGGCATGACACCAGCCACAAACCTGCAACAAACGCTGCGTACTCGAATTTAGCAAGTTACTGAAATAGGTCAGAAGCAGCCGCTGTTTCTTCCCTACCAAGCATTTTCTCCCTTCTCGTCGCTGAGCAAAGGTGTAAGTGGGACGTCATTTCTGGACCAGGAAATCATGCCTCCAGCGCTGATGGACTTCTGTAGCGATTCCTGCTGAAAAAAAAAACACACACAATATAAGCTTCTGGATCTCGTTTTCAAAAGTGGAGTTTATGATAACAAGACAACCCATTAGAAATCGAAGTAGAGGTGGTGGATGTGCGGCAATGGAGCACGCAAAACGCTAAGAAAAAAACCCCCGAATTACGCGTGTGGGCGAGTCTCATCGTTGCTGGTGAATCATCGTGAACGCTCTGCTTCACGTCTCAACTCTTTAATTGCCTAGTATTCGTAGTTCGAGTCGGGCGGAGGTTGCCAGCGCTAGAGGGTTTAGGCGCCTCACAGAATGCGCGGGTTACGGCCCTGTCAGGCAGGCAGCTGAGGGCATATATACCTTTGCTGTAAAACGCGCATCGTCCGCCAGCATTCAAAGCGGATCGTCCTGCCTTCTTATTAAGTATCGCTTTCCCCTGTCTTGTATTTTACGCACTTTACTAATGGAATTCCCATTCAAAACGTCGGGAGCGAGATATCTATAGCAGTCCCCACAGGGACAAAAGTTGTAAAACTTTCTCCCGAGACTATCGCGCGGAATTACTGCAGGCTCAGTGCGCCAACAGTAATCATGATGATGCGTATTACACTCCAAATCTCGAAGTCTGATTGGGCGTGTCACCGGAAATGACGTGGCAGCCACCGCACTTGATAGAAATTGCGCGGATAAGCTGCTTCCAGCATGCTTCGCTGATATCTGGCGGAGTACCTTATAATAAGCAAGTGGCGATTGCTGCACGTCATTTGCGAGCGTGTTACTCACGCCCAAATCGAGAGTTCGAGATTACCACTAGTGAGTCGTGGGGACCACACATTCTACAAGTGGCTGAATAGGGAAAAATTCAGTCGATTAAAACTCAAATGATCATCAGATGCACTCAGAATAAGACAAGATAATTTCATCAAATAGAGTAGAGACAGCGTGGCTTCTGAAATAAATTGAGATGGTTGCAAGGAAAGAGGAATCAGGCAACTCAAGATAAACTGATGCAGAGGGAACTCAAAAACATGGCACTTTCTAAAGCGAAGTGCCAGCCTGCAACGCCTCAGCGTCTTACCTGCAATGAACCACCGCCTTCATGGAGAGCCGCGCTTATTCTTGCGCAGGTAAAATTCATATCTCGCCTTGCGCGACAAAGTATTAGAGTAGAGGAATGGACCAGTTGGTACAATTCGTGCCGTGCCTACGTAATCGCTATTTTGACGGCCAGGGAAGCGCGGGATGGGTGCGAAAGCGGAAGCGAAATGGTTTGCGTATCCAGATTTATTCCTCCTGCGAAAATCGGTCACTGGAGGCGACAAGAACTACTGCACCACATGCCTCTCAAGGAGAAAAGACCCCGAAATCTTTACAAATCCAAAATGCTCAAAGGATCCACTAGAAAGAAAGCACTCTCTAGAAATGCTTACCTCAGTTTCTGGTACTTCGATGTTGTTTATTGCTTCATCTTCAGTGTGCTGAAGTTCAACAAATAACATAATGACAGCCAGGAATATGAAATTCGCAAATCGCTCACCACTTCAAAAAACTGTTCAACACGCTGAAGGACATATTGAAACTCTCGCATTTCGTTCAAATTCTTCCTAAGGTAGCTGTCATTTTTATTCAGCGAGACGAAATCAAGTTCTAGCTCGTCTACTTCAGTCTGCAATTAAAGAATGAATAAAAACCAAACACGGTAACTGTTACTCCTTAAAAATTTTTTTCAAGTATAAGAGACAGCGAACACAACAACGGCCAGACAAGGCGCAAAAGAGATACGTCAACCCATACCAGGATGTCTTCAGGGGCCATAAGGTATCCTTCCCGAATGGTTGCGGGGACGAAAATCCCTTTAAATTTTTTGTTTTGAACGATACTGTTTCTTCATTTTCAGTGCATGTTTACTTTAACCTACACACATATTAAATGTAGGCCCTTTATCAGGACAATCCCAGTTGGGAAGACAGAGAAAATTTAAAGGGATTTTCGTCCCCAACCCTTCGGGAAGCATACCTTAAGGCCCCAGAATGAGAAAATTCCTTCGGAGGGAAGGGAGAAGTGCAAGAGTTTCGGGAATTGGAGATTAGAAAATAGAGCACCAAACGTAGAAAGAGCAATCAAAGACGAGAGCTCTGCTGACAAACTGACCAATCAATGAAACAAAATCTATCCCTGAAAAGCTCTGGGCAAGGAGACTTGAGTAAGTCATTCCGAAATACTTCAAACTGCATTTAAGAGTGTCGTAATGACCAAAAGATATTAATCCTACCAGCAAAAAATTAAATAAAAGATTTACAAAGGCACGAGGCGACAATAGAAAATGATAGAGGTGAAAAAAATCTGGAATTACCTCCAAGTTATTAATTTCGAATTGGGACGGGGTTTCGATGATAGTAGCGTCTATAGGTAAAAGCTGTATCCCTGGTACACATTCTACCACCTGCCGCTCGAGAAATCCTTAACAGGGTTTTGCTTTCAACACTGGACACATGCCAAATTTGCTAGTAATGCTGCCAAATGAAAACATCGCCTCATAGCACTGATACCGAAGAAAAGGGAAAGAAACTTACTCAGTTTCCTCTCGAGTTCCTCGCAACGTCGCACTTCTCTCACAAACGTTCTTTGAAAGATGTTTTTATTGGCATTCAACTGGAACAATCTGTATGATCAAAATATTGAAAGTGTGGTCAAGTTCTTGAATTTATTCTAAACATCTTAATTGCAATGTTATCAGAGGAGTCTCTGCTTAAGTTTCTCGAGACTCATATTAGGTCGTTACGGATCTTGAACACAGGTAATACACTGATTACGTAAACGGTCACATTTTAGACTTAATTATCTCTTAGA